TAAACAATCTTTCTCAGTAAAACTTTGCTTTTATCATACAATTAAAAATGACATTTGTTAACAATTTATATTTATTTTAAAAAAAAGTAGTAATCCAGTAGTATGAATTATGTTTCTCTCATCTTCCTATTGCTTATAATTTTCATTTATAAGTCATACAAATTAATAGTTGAATAATTTCTTTTTATTTATATTATAGAAATAAGTAAATGTTTCGTAAAATGTTGCACTAAATGTTGCGCCTAAATATTAAACACAACGGCAACATCACTAATTTCAATTAAATGACATAAGTGCATAACATTTTTGTAATAAATTCTATTAGAATTAGAAACATAATATAGTGAGATTTTATGATTATTTACTTAGGACATATAGATGGAAGCCCATTTCCATCTTCACAGAGCATGACTTCTCCAGCAGCCTCTAATTGGCCAGGATCACCTAGTGTACCTAGACCATCTCCAGCACGTCCTACACAGAGTCCAGGACATGCAGCACTGCATAGTCCACAAGCTTCTGATCATAAAACTGGTACCCATATCTCAAGGGTACTTCCACAGCGTTCATGGGCAGGTGCTGTACCTACGCTTCTAACTCATGAAGCTTTGGAATTACTTTGTTGCCCTTCCCCACATCCCTCTGGACTTCCTGGTCCTGATCTTTCACCGCTTGAAAGATTTTTAGGGTGCATTTATATGCGCAGACAATTTCAACGGTTCATACAAACTGATGACTGTGTAAGAAAATTTTTTAATAAGAATATTTTATCTAGTTATGTATATTATATTTTAAAAGTACAACACAATTTATAAAAGTTATATATTAAATTATTTATAGTTAACTGCAGTAAATAGTACAGAGCCAGGAGTTGTACACTTTAAGGTAGAGAGTTTACAATGTCGAGTTGGTTTAAATCCACAACATTTACAGTCTCTTCATATAAAGGTGCAACCACTTCCGGAACATAAAGATCAATGGTCATTGGAAGAGTTACAAGTGATTGTCATAATTCAATTCATAATTCAAATTTTCTTTCTTTTTTTAATATCTTTTTCGCTTATATTTTTAAAACTATTTTTATATATTCCCTCTTCTTTTGCAGATTATAGAAAAATTTTTTGATACAAGAGCAGCAGCACCACCATATAAACCAAATACACTTTCTGGCTTTGGTAGAATGTTAAATGTCCCATTCAATGTGTTAAAAGATTTTGTACAAATAATGAAATTGGAATTAGTACCTGGATTAGCACAGCAACAACAACTTAAGTGGAATGTACAATGGTGTTTAAGGATTCCTCCTTCTGGAACTCCAATTGTACCAACTGGCATGGCTGCTGTACTAGTTTGCAGAAATAAAATCCTTTTCTTTGTATGTATACATACATAGATGTTTATTAAAATACTATTATCATATTAAAATGACAATATTCTCAATAATCTATATTAATTTGTTGTAATAAAAGTGATATTAACGTTTGATCCGTCTGTGTTGCAGTTACAAATAACAAGGATTGGATTACCATATCAAGGAGAAACACCGTCATTGGTTTTACCGCTAGTTTATGATGTTAGTACAAATTTGACACAATTGGCAGAGAAAAGGGATCCAAGTCCAGCTTCTGCAATGGCAGCTGCATCTTTACAATTAAAAAGATTTGCTGAATATGGTGCAAATCAATCTGAGTGTTCTCTCTTTCCTGCAGTTAGAGATTTATTAGCTAATTTGACTCTTCCTTCAGAGCCTCCTGTTATGTCTCAGGTAAATAGATAAATCTTTTAATTTTCAAAGTATTAAACCAGGATTTAATCAAGCTTGCAATTGGTTCATGAACGTTTACGAATGCTTTTAAGGAGAGTTACTGTTTCGAGTGAAATTCATTGACTGCATGCGTTAAATGGGGACTAGAGATCGCCGTTTTCCATTTACAGATCGATGAAAGCCTAAAAATAGCATATCTTTGGTAGGGACACTTAGTACATATTCGTAACAAATTTTTGCTTTTCTTTAGAAAAAGAGCATCCTGTTAGCACTTCTATATAAAATCTATCTACTAATTATGTACTATTATATATACTACCTTGTTCTGTTGTATTCTGTAATCATATTGAGTAATTTATTCAGTCATTGTATTATATGTGTCACTTTTCAATGAGATTTTATCTGTTTCTAAAATTATTAATGTATTTAATTTATACCAATTTATTAAAAATTTCACTTGTCCAATAGTCCTTCTAGAAGCAACTGCCTTTTATCTTTAACAAAGAACAACATGTAGAGGTACGATTATCAGATTATATGTCGGTAAATATAAACTTAAGCAATTATAAACATAAGGAAAAGTCAAGCTTACATTTAACCAAAAATGCATACATTATACTTCTATATGTTAATTTCAAGATGAATGCTTTGAAAAGGAAGAAAATTATGAATAAGCTAAAATTAAATAAGGATTTTTTTAAAGGCTGTGATACGAATAAAATTATAAAGATTTGCTGCACAATTTGTAGTAAGCCTATCAACTGTTATTCATTGTATTACAGAATCGAATATTACAACATTTTTTGTGAAATAAGAATAATCTTTCCCTACATAAAATTGCAATTTAAAAGAGACATGTATATGATCAGAGAAAACGATTTGCGCATTGATTAGATTAACCTGAGCATGAATCTTTTAATTACCAGCAGAAAACAAAAGTCTTTCATAAAATATTATAATTGCTATGTCGCATATATTGAATCTATTATACTTTACCTAACTGAAAAATTAGAAAATTAGAATGTACGTGTAAAATTTACGTTAAAATTGAATTACTGTTAAAAACTTTTGTTTAAATATATTTTATAATACTTGTTTATATTATACTATACCAATACATTAATTATTTACTTATTATAAAATAATTGGTAATAATCTAATAGTAGAGATATTACTAATAATAATAATGATAATGATATCTTTTATTTAATAACTGTTCATGTGTTTGAAAAATAAAATATGCATAAACAAACACTGCTGCCTATAGGTAGTTGCATCGCCAGCTGGTGGACAGGTAACACCAACACAGCAGATTCAAAGTCCTGCAATGCAATTGCATTCTCCTATGGCTGGAAATCAAGGTCCTCCACAAGCACCATATGGAATTCAAGGTATGCCCCCCATGGGCATAATGGGTGGACCACCTCAATAGGACATGCTTTACTCTCCTAACCCCCTAAGTTTACCGAATCAGTCATCATGGATCAACTGAATCGTATTGTTGTAATGTCCGTTTTAAGAATGTGCATAAGTCTTCTTTTTCGTTTGTCAATACAACGGACTATAGCGGGGAATTGTAGGAGAGTTGTTTCATCAAAGAAGCCTTCTTTTATAAAAACTCATACTACGAAAAAGCAAACTATACGAAGGAACAGCATTAGTATTGAACTTAAGGGTAGACGGACCAAATTTCACTTGAGAATTACTTATTAAATCAATGGGAAATTATTTTCAATAAACTTTATTTATTTTTTAATAATCTTGCATCTTTAGATAATTATGCATTGTTATCAATTATCAGAACACCAGTTATAAGAAAAATGGTATAGTAAACTCTTTTCATAGTACAAACTTTATTATATTGAGGGATATATTATGAAAATAATTAAACACTTTGTAATATTTTGTATTCTTTATAAAGAAAAGTCAAATATCAAGTTCTTTTCGTATTTATCGTTAGACGATTACATCAAATTCTTAAATTTAGCAGGTTATAGATAAAGCTGGCCACTAAAAGCATTCTTTTTACTATAAAACAGTGACTGTGATACTAGTTCAAATATAGAATAAATGAACTTTACGATTAGATTATGGAATAATAATGTAAGATCATCTATGTAATAAATGATAGTTCTTATATGTAATTTAAATATAAATTATCTTAATATGTTTATAATTATACATTATCTTTATTATGTAGGCACCATTGATGATAATATTACCATAAACAGATATCTGGTGCTGTTAAAAATGTATAAATTTTAATAGTACCACGATGTTTCTAATAATAACAACGTTTTTAGTCGTATTTGTTTCATAGATGACAAAATTTTTAAGATCTTTTAATCGAATAAAATATTTATTTATTCCCATTTATGTTAAAAAGATCGGATAATTTATAATAATATATTATTTTTATTATGATTCTTGTAATACGAAAATTTGGTTCATAAGGAAGTTTCTTGAAATATCTTTATAAAATAATTTATATTTGGAAACTAGAATTTGAACAGTTGCTTTCTATACGTACTTGGATGTACTATGTGTATAAATTATACTAATCCTCGAGAATAAAATAACTGACCAATTACTTAATCATATATGTGCAGAATTGTATATTAATTATTAACATGTATTAATAAGGAAATAATATATTACTATGAATTATTGGATTTATCTCTCATATTTGCAATTTTTTAACATCTTCATGAAATTTTACAACAATAATCGTAAGGTAATTTTTTTCTACAACTACACTGCTGTTTGTTTAATAATAAAACAATTCGTTTTTTCTTTATGATTAATATTTTGGTGAACGATTGTAAGAAGAAATATGCTTCTCCATACAATTGAGAGGAGTTAAGAAAAAATTTTCAAGTTTAAAAAGAATACAAAATCTTTATCATGATTCTTGTACAGTATAAAACAATGTAAAATATACATTATAAAATATTACAAATTTTTATTATACATTTTAGTTTCTCTTATAAACAGAGCGATTATAATATGTATCATTTATACATATTGATGTACTATAGTAAATATAACTTAATAAAATAATGTAGTATAATATTCTGTGTTAATTGTTAAAAATATATATATATATTTTTTTTATTATATGTATATATATATATATTTCTCTCTCTCTCTCTCTTCCCCTCTCTCACGCATACGTGCGCGCGCGCACACACACACAGACACACACATACACAAAGTAGTTCAACGCAAGCATATGTAATTTTTCTGTAGTGTCTTGCTTTTAAACTCTTTATTTGTTTTTGTACTGGTTTGCTTTAAAAAATGAACAATATCTTTTTACTAATTAGATTAATTTTCTAATTATACAACTAGCTAAATTATCGAGCGTCCTGCTTGAAAAAACAAAACAATTGCATTTGAAATTTTTGTACTTATACCTTTTAGTTGTTGTTAGCCCAATTAAAATGTACATTTATGATACATATATTTGAAATATTCATAGAAAATATTACTCGATAAACATTTCCACTTTTGCGAATATTTTTAGAGAAGTAATAAAATATAATTGAGTAGATGACGAACACGTATTCTGGCCTAATTTCGAGTAGTAAGTAAGCTTAAGCCAATTTTCACTTCTATGAAGGAAGGAGCCAAGAAGAAGGTACGAAGAGCTCGCTGTTAATGCATGTGGTCAACAGCAACACCAACAAGTTAAAACTGTAAACGAAAATGTTTTGTGCGCGATATGAACTGACGACAAATGATTGCGTGAACTGCTCCAGTTCGTTATCATTAGATTATCGGCAAAAATCGTAACGATACAAAAAATATATAGGTTTTAATAAACTATTGTGCTATGATATAAGTATAGAAAATTTACTTTAGGAATACGATGACTTTTAGTTAATTTGTAATTTGACTTATATACGAGCTTATAAATAATACAAATATATCATATGTAATGTAATAATATTAATTATAGTTATTAAAAATATGATTATATGTATATATAATTAAAAATTTTAATAATAGACATATTGGAATATTAAATGTTGCCAATTTATTCAACATTTGTAGTAATACTGATAATTTTATCAATATAAGAAATTATCCTCTATTCTTTTCAATTTGAATAAAATTCGTTGCCATAGATATACGGATAAAAGAAAAGAATTACGCCAAGCTTATATTAATTTGAAAACTAATTCGTTTTTAGCGAAACACTTAACTTTCGAAGCCAGTAAAAGTATAAATAGAATATTTTCATTGCTGTTAATTCAGCAAGCATTTTTCGACGATACGTCGACGCAAGCTAAAAGAATGTATTTATTTGAATTGTTTTAAAGAAACCTTTCTAACTTTTTCAAATCGTTTCAAATCGTACTAGAGGAGAAAAATTTGTTTTCTTAAATGATTATCATATATATATATATATATATATATATAAAACATATATATATATATATATGTTATATATGTTATATATATATATATATATATATATATATATATATAATATATATATATATATGAGTTGTTTTGATCGGATGTAATATTCGTAAAACGAAATATTCATAAAATATTCATGAAATATTCATGTTATCAATCAGTGAGAAGTGCAAGCCTACCGTGTTGTGGACGCCAGTAACAGCATGCCAAGTGCAGAGCTAAAATAATAACCAGGATTTCGACAAATGCTAATCCAGTCGCAACGCCGATTACTATAGCCGCATTTTCTTCGATCGTCCTCATTATTGCTCTATAACAACCCTACAATATTTATACAGCTTTTTATATATCTCGAATAGCCTTTATAATAAATGAATTATAAAGTTATTAATCTAATCGAAGTATTTTCCAACCTGTTTATAATAAGAATTATTGGAAGTAGGACTGATAGGGCAAGATGGATCCTTCAAAATATTGTTTTCCTTTATACAACATGCTTCAGGTAGAATTTTATCTGTAGATGTCCAATTTGTACTCTCTCGGAAGTCCAAATGATTGTCTACTCCACAGCAATGAAGCTAAACATATATAACAGGTTAATGTATGTAAATCCGCTTGTTAAAACTTATTTGCGCTTAATCATTTTTTTTAAGCAGTTTAAGTCTATAACTTTGTCCTAATTAATCAAACAAGCAAATTTGTAACAACCTGTGTCATTATGCCATCCCACGTCACTGTGATTGTCTCTGTTTTATCGATGTTACTGGCATAGTATTTGATCGTAGACTTGAGAAAATCTCGTGTACTTTGCTCTGCCTGAAAGAATTGCGACGAACAGACTAATATCAATTTCTATTTAAGATTGGAATTTACGTAACTAACAATATGACGAAAGAAATAAACTTACATCCCCTTTAAGTCCAAAAGCCAAACCTACTACAACAGATTCCAGGATCAAAACGAGGAGAATAAGAACACCGTACTATAATTAAAAACTTAATTGTATCGTGTGACACTAAAGTCTCTTTCTTTCGGCTACAAAAGTACTTACGACACAAAGAAGACACCGAGATTCAAACATCGCTCCACAGTAGCCCAAAAAGCTGATCAAAAAGGTCAACGTTCCCGCCAAAATCAAGATGTACGATATTATCCTGATGACGTCGGTGTCCGTTTTGTTCTACGAACAAAATGATTGAATTTAACTCTATGATTAACGTACTATCGAATTATCTATTAAAATTTGAAATAAAAATTTTCGTAAACCAGCATACTAAATATAAAGCTATAGAAAAACTTTTAGTAAGATCTGAAATATTTGTTTTGAGTTATTTGAGTTTATTTGAAAATTGTAGATTTTCTGAAAAATCAAACGTTAGAGATACTTGGTTTTAGATAGAGAGCGAGCAAATTATACGACTTGTCTAAGTATTCAAACATATTATAATTTAGTTCTAATAATGTATACATGTATAATAAATAATATATAATATATAATATATAATATAGGATGATATTATGGTAATTGAAAGTAAAAATATATTACGATATAGTGATGTAAGCGTTGCTCTTAGTATACAAGTTAGATAAATTACGTTGAAAATAAAACAAAGAGTGAAAGAAGAAACAAAGAGAAAACAAAGGGAAGAAAATTGCACTTATGTAAAGAAAGATTGTTACTCTTCTAGTAACATTATGTACACTATATCTCTGTTAGTACCGTGCTTCCTTCGAACGACAATTAATTCGATAACACTGCTATAAATAAATATATACATCTAATCGGCGAAGGATATTATTATTAACAATATTATTATATTATTATGTTCATTATCATTCATTTAGAATAGCTAGTTTATATTAGGAGCGAACGATCTATAGTAAGTAGGAGCACGAGGAAACGAAAATGAAAACCTGTACACGATAAGAGCTTACGAGTAGAAAGTGCCGGATATATTCTTCTCGGTAGTTAACTAATTGGCAACGCTTTCGTGTCGCAATCAACGGAGCGTGAATCGGTAAAAAATATCCTATTACTACAAATAATCTTACTACCGATTGTCTTCTCTTTTAATCGTTCGATCAAATAATTTCCCTATATTGTGGCAACATCACTTGAACATGGTCGAGTGAGATTTTTTCCTTTCTTCTTTCGTTTCGTTGCTTCTTTTAAAAGGAAAATTTCTGTTTCGAGAGAATTGTTCTAAAACTTTACCAAAATGTCCGACTGATCGAGTTTGCCGACGAGATCAGTGAAAGAATTGCTATCGACGAAGAGCCAAACTCCAACCGCCAACGCAGCCCCTCCGGCTACCTGTAGACAAAGCCGATGAAAATTTAATTAATTTTCTACCACGCCAGGATGTATAGCGAGATCGGAGAGAAGAATTAATCTAGAAGTACAGGGTGTTGTAACGAATTTGATCTGGCAAGTGAGAATCCCTATCGAATCCCTATCGAATCCCTTCGAGAGAATCAGATGTCTCGCAGGTATCTCGGATATTCGGTTGAAATCGTTAGCCCTGGTGGTTAAACAGTCGTTTGAATTGGTCGTTAGCAGATATTTGAAGGAATATTCGAAGGAAAGAGACGACGAGGGAAGACGTTGCGAAGTCGCGGTGACGCGAATTTGGAAATTCCAAGTATACGTTGAGAGAGTGCAGGGAACTAGAGAGGACGATGGTCGGTCGGTATAGAGGAAATAGTTAGCGAGAAAGTGAAGGAAAAAGCTGCGAACTGGCTAAGAGAAGTGGAAAGGATATTAGGGGTGTCAGGCAAAGAGTTAAGCGATTATATAATAGTTAGATAAATAGTTAGTAACTAGATGAAGACTTAAATAGTTAGATAAGAATAAAGTATAGTTGGACGGATGAGTAGCAGTAACCTAACTAGGTTAATAGTAGGCCGCCGTGTTAAATCAACAGGTCGTATCTACGACTTTCGCTTAAATCGAGTGGTTGCTGCCAGGTAGCGGATATAAATAAGGGAGAAATTATATTTTGATTAGGAATCGAATTAACGATAAATATATGTAGGATAATGTCGCAATAAGGAATGCGGAAATAACGTCGTACAGGAATACAATACTTACGAAGAAAACGAAATTGAAGAAACATAGAAAATACTTGGCACACTGCGAAGCACAGCCCATTTTAGCCTCGTTCATTCACTGAGACTGAAACTGTATCTGTAACTGAAAAAAAGTAAATATCGTTCGGTACTCTTGCATACTGAATTAAGAATATCATAACGCGTGCTACTTGAACAGTAAATCGTAAACGAACGTTAGCCTCGCTATCGGTAAACTGATTTTTATGCTATGCGCGTATTGTAAAATATTTTTTCTAATTTTACGAAGCATTTACGACAGAAGAAATTAAACGTCATACAGAACGTTTACAAGACGTTCTCTAGTTGCTCGATTAAGACGACGTATTCGTCGTTGAAATCATCGTAGGCGGGAAACAAAGAGCTGCGAAAATTGGCCGAATTAGGACGAATTTCTGTTAATTAAGAATACGTCCTTTGCATTCATAGTCGAATACAGCATCTAACGAATGACGCGTTAATGCATTCGATGTTATTAAGACGGCCTCGTATTTCGTCAAAAGTAATCACGATGTTACAGCGTTTACGTATCGACGACTGCAACGCATGTAACGTAAAGTATATAATATTGCACACGCGTAGTAGGTATACGTACAGTGGACAAAAGTATTGGCACGCGATTCCAAAACGTTTGTAACTATTCTAAACCAGCTTCGATAATGACGTACGTACATCGACGTGCACGAAGGGTACCTGTAGGACACTCGGGTATACAAAAATTACCCGGTTACCCGAATACGCGAGACAGTTGAGAGTTTTATCGAAGGTATGGGTCTCTCTCTCTCTCTCTCTCTCTGTGTGTGTGTGTGTGTGTGTGTGTGTGTGTGCGTGTGTGTGCGGTAGCTAGGAGCGAAACGTTTGCAACGATGGAATATAGTTAAAACTGTAACTGGAAGGGACAAAGAATAGTAATACTAGGCGCGGTACGATAAAATCACAAACATCAGATACGATAAGAGGAGACATAAATATGTACGAACGGTGGGAAGGGCAGAGCATCTACAGCATCTAGAACATCTAGAGCATCTAGAGAGGACACTGGTTGGAAGACGAAAAGAGAAAATGCGTTCCTCGTAAAATTGAAATAGGTACGTTAAAACGCTCGCCAGAGAATTGCTATGGGATATAGCCTAGCGTATCGAGCGAGGAGGAAACAGTGAAAGGCAGGAGAAACGAGGCAGTGGTAAATCGCTTAAGATCCATAATAGAAAAAAAGCGTAGAGATACAGGGAATAATCCGAAGCAAACGCAAACGCAAACGCAAACGCAAACGCAAACGCAAACGCAAACGCAAACGCAAACGCAAACGCAAATGCAAACACAAACGTAAACGCGAAGAAATAACTCATCGCCCCGATGGCAACGAGGAATGAAACTATCGCAGCAGAAGGCAGAGGAAATCAGCTGAGCGGCTCACGAAATAATCAGGAAGCTATTAGGCCGAGTTACATCGCGGTCCCGCTGCGAATGTCCGCTTTAGCTCTCCTATCTTTGCGCTGCAGCTTGTAACGTAAAAGCATCTTCTATTACCGACGATGCGTGACGCCGATGATCGTTCGATTGAAAAATATCTTTTGATATTTTCTCAAACAAAAGTAAAAGATATTTTCCGATAGTTTCTTGCTAACTAAAAATCCAACCATGAGGCCAGAATCGATCGTTTATCCGAGATATATATTTGTAAAATTTATCGCGTTGTCGATCGTACGTAATATGGAACGCGTCAATGACGCTGCTAACGACGACGATACGGAATTGTATTTATTTCGTGGCGGTAATTAACGTGGCGGTAATAACGAAAAGTGGGTGCGACGTATTCGTCGTTTTCATCGGGATCATGAAGAATGTGCTTCGGAAAATTAGGAACCGCATCGTCTGACAACGTACCGTACCGTAGGATTCGGTGGTCGTGATAACGCCGATCCGATAAAATCGCTTCAACGCGGCGAATCTTCTTCGATCGACCAAGATCGACCACGATCGATCACGATCGGCCACGATCGACACGACTAGTGTTGCGTGTATAATAATGGATAACGAAATCGAAACACGAATATAGCGACAACGGCGATGTCCGAGGCGTTGGAAGTAGGGTTAAGACGTTAACAGTCACAAAAGGAATGCAACTTTACCGAATTAAATCTGCTAGAAAAGTTGTGCGATTTAACGGTTAAAAGGATTTTGGGCGGATTAATGTTGAAAGAAAGAAGCGTGTTTCTGTTTTCGGGGAAGAATCATGAGTGTTAAAATCATGAGTGTTCCATATTAGACGCAGTTACCCTATATATCGTCATATTAATTATCAACAATGTTCGTACTTGTATCTTACGAAAGAAAGATTGCTTTTATAATATTCTGGCTCGTGCTTCCTATTACGTAGATATCGTGCGCACTCTGTGCACAGGTTATAAGGCGTTTGCATGGTTAATAATATCGTGCTACTGAATCATTATTATTATCAAATTAGTTTACCAACAACGTTACGCAATATACGAGTACGTATGTATATCGCGTAAGAAGACGCATAAGAAGACGCAACGACATAATCGTCCGATCGTTCCGTCATTCGTATATGATCGATATCGAATTATATTCTTTTGAATAAACCGAGGAATCTGCAAAATTCAGAAAAACTAAGTAGACGTTATTTTAAATTACGCTTGTTCGCGGTAATTACACACGTTCGTAAACGTATTCTCGTGTGTTATCTGCTTCTCACGAAGCTCGTACAAAGAAGAGAATTTTGCATAATTAATCGTGTTAACGATGGTCTATTCGCATCGGAGTACTACAACTTGGATACACCGTTATACGAGTAAATTCATAAAAAATTACATCATCGCGACGAAACTCAAACTCTCGCATTCCCTTTCAACTACTTGTACATCAGTACATGTAATAGCTTCGAAATCCTACACTTTCGAGATAAACGATTATCTAGTTGAAACGATCTAGAGCAAACGTAGAACAACTTGGACCAATGAAAACAACAAATACGAGATTTAAAGAACGGGGGCTAGCGATCACAACGCTGCAAACTTCTATTAATTAACGGAGCAATATTTCTTGCTCGTGTCCTCCGCTATCACACGTCCTTTCTATCATTTTTCTATTACTTTTCTATTATTTTTCTATTATTTTGCTACCAAGTTAATATTCTACGCGTTAATATGCGTATAATATGCGTATAATATGCGTATAATATGCGTATAACGGCATCAAAGTGGAAACGTGTCGTATAAAGCGTCGTATTGAAAGGGAAGAAAAGATGCTTCGAAAGTTAGAGAAAGGCGTGAAAGTATTTGAAAAATTGGAAAAATCTACAACGTTAGAAGATTCGTAATTAACTAAGCCAAAAATAGAAACACGTAATTGAAAATTACTCGAGAAATAAGAAATTTGTAGCTGAATTGAGAAATAAATATGTACTATCTGTTGTACAACAATACAGTACACAAACAGACACAGTATCTGGATATATATTGTACGAAAAAGTTTTGAAATTTGTATAAATATCGTCGTCGACGTTTCGATTGCTTATGCTGAAAAAAAGGAAGAAAAAAGAAAAAGGAAAAAAAGAAAAAGAAAAACGAAAAATAATTATAAAGAGAGACGCGGCTTCCATTATCCGAAAATTCCCTCGTCCGAAGAGTTACGTCTTCCCATTAATTCGGATAGTGGAGGTTACATAGTACGGACGAACAAAGTACGCGAAACACGGTCATTTTTAATTGTAAATCCGCCAAGGGTAAAGCCAAGAGCAACGAGAGTAAGTATCGAAGAAAAAGAAAAGCGACCCGTTGGTCGGGTATAATCGAGTCTGCTGACCTAATTTTCCACGTGTCATCGTCCTCCAAACGAGAATTGCCACCTCGCCAATTGCTTACTCGCAAAAAGGTTACACATCTTTTTTACGCCCGCTGCATTCTATCTATCTCTATTCTATCTCTGTGTCTCTCCTACAACCTACTATAATCTCCGTATTTTGTATTTTAACAACGATATTGATATTTCGTAACGATATACGCTTTAGCTACGGCCGTGCAATGTACCTTTCTATAACTTTGAGGTACGGTGTTTTTAAAGAGGATCCAACAGGCATGTTTCAATTTTCTATCCGATTTGCTAATTGCAAGCGAATACCGGAATAGGCAGCGATCGTAAGGAGCAACGTCTAACGAATAAGCTGGCTGCTGTAAGACGTGCCAACCAAGACTCGTCATGACGTCTTTTGTCCGTAGAAGCCACGTGGGGCCTGATGTTGTCAGGCGGTAATTTCACGGAACGTCCTCCTTCGTAGGTGCCCCGACGATCGGATCTCGTGTAAAGACGCGACACTTTATCGCTTACCCAACAAGTGGCTCAAAGTTACAGAGAGCAACGACGAACGAATTCCTCGATCCCACGGCTTGCGGTATGTTTTTCTTTTCAAGTAAACTTTGAATTGCGCTGAAAAATTTGGATTATTCGTTCGCTCACTTAGTACAAACGATGCAAGGGTATTAGTTGTGTCGTAGGATTCCCTTTGTACTATGCGTAAAAGCTGTAAACAGAATCGTTACGAGCGTTACGTTAGATTTCTCGTATAAAAGCGCGTTCTGGGCTTGCATACGTGCGTGCATTATGCAACGAGGATACGATATACATTTGCAGGCACGTTATTGCGTCATCGTCGAAAGTTGTCAAACTCGTTGAACCACTAAAATTAAACAGATTAAATGCCGAACAAATAGCCATTAATACGACCAACCAGTCGAGCATATAACGTTTCACGAGAACGAAAACCACTTTCCGATCCAAGTACTTATTACCGCTTAAAGCGTGTTTTTGCTTTCCGCTTTTGTCGACAACAAAATATTCGTACTCACTTTTGACTCTTGGAACATTGTTCCAATAAATGGCAACTACGCCGATACAGAAATAAAAAAGAACAGCGTGTCGTTAACTTAAAAATTTATTTGTCGAAAAATCGTGTGACTTGGTGAAAATCTTGCATTTTCAGATTTGTCAAATTACGTTTTTAGTATTTTCAAATGTTCTACCTTCACAGCATCGCACAGCGAGATCGTTGCTCGCCAAACGGGGTAAAAAGCACGTTCTTCCTACGTTTGCTCACGGACGTTGTCTCTCGAGAGACCGAGCCATTCGAGCACCTTCTGCGAAGGTAAGCAGGTACGGATTGTTATCGAGACATAGAAGCGATAATAACTTTGAAATAAGGTCAAATTGAACACGCGTTTACGCCAACTCTTTCCTTCTTCCTTTCTTTCCTTTCTCCCCTGTCCACTGTCCACTGTCCACTGTCCACTGTCCACTGTCCTCGAGTGGATCCCACGTATTACGAAACACACCCTGTATACTCTCTCTGCCTTTCTAAACTTGACTTTTGTCTCCCGTCGTCCGTGGATTTCCTAGTTAGACAACATTATAGAACGAGAGGAAAGAAAAATTCCGTGCTTCCTAGGTTCGTGGAAATTACGATATTTACGAAGAGGAGAAGCGATTGAGAATGAGGATGAACAAAAGCGTGACAGTGAGTGGTGAAATTCTTCGGTATATATATATATATATTCGTCGAATATATTCGGTAATAAATCGTAGCGGTTACTAAACTACGCGTGACGCGTGACGCGTGACACGTGACACGTTCGAAACGTAACGTAATACGTTTGTAAATTATATAGAGACAATTATAATGTTGTCAGTACGAGGATAGATCGTAAGATATTAACGGAAGAAGAGGCCGGATTGTTGATTGTTATAGCGTAGAAGACGTTCCAGGGGCATCCGAGGTCTCAGATGTTCAAGGCCTGTTGGAGCCAATTTTCTTAGCACAGTATGTTAGTTAGCTAGTATGCTTTTGCGCTGTAGCTCTGCCATTTCTCGCAAAATTAGTTAGAAATGTAGCCAGCATACTGGTTGAAATGTACGTAATTCTTTTCTTAATGTATATAAACATGATGTAATGTGTTATACGATTATATGTATATAAATACGATATTGACGGATATGGAAATAAAATGTATCGTACGATAGAAAATGTAGAAAATATATAGAATATATAATAACGTTATAAATATTTTTGCCTAGTATGTATCGGGTGTAGAAAAGAATAATGCAAATTTTTAAGCAAAGTTCAAAGTATTCGACGTTGCTTTCTATAACTTTGAGCTATCTATCGGGCGAGCGACCAATTCCATCGAGAAAAAATGTGTCTTTGGACGAGATGCGGTGGTTGGGGCACCGACAAAGGAGGACGTTCTGTGAAATTACCGCGTGACAACGGCAGACCACACACTGTTTTATCGTCGTAATGAGTCTCGCTTGGGATATGTTGCAGCAACCAGCTTATTCGCTGAACGTTATTCCTTTCGATCGTTACCTGTTCCGATCGACGCTCCCTATCCAAGGGGCTAACTCGCTTCCAATTCGGATCAACACAAGATAAAAGAAATTACTCTGATATATTACTCGCGAATTGCACCGTTTTCAAAATCACTGAATCGTACGATTCATTTAGTTTCGATTATTTAAATTTCATGTTTCACGCTTTAATCGTTTAATTGTAAGAACACTAAAAAACAAAATGCTGTTGTTTAATCTGAAAATATCATTTGTTTTTGATTATTGGTTCCTCGAATGTTTGGACAGGCTACACAGATTACAGGAAATGGAGTCGTATTACTTTCAAAATAGACAAACGATAATATTAACTCCGTATAGTAAGGAAATGTCGATTAATTGAAACAAACGAATGTTTTAGACATTTAAATTATACATCGATAATAAATAAATAAAAAGTTCGCATAAACGCATAGGAAGGTTTTCCGTTTTCTCGATTTTTTTCAAAAAATCGACTTTCACCACTTTCTCAAAATATGTAGTCCAATTATATTCGTTCGAACGAGCTTGAGCACGTAACATGACGAGGGCATTGACATCGTGCAAAGTGCATGCTATGTGTTGTTATGGAAACACAATTCATCACAAGAGTAGCTTTTTTTCTTTTATTATTCATCCCTTGTCCAATATATCATATATTACAAGTAAGTAACAAATACGTTTAATTGCTCGGGTATCACTGTGAAAGATTTTATCCGAGACTTTCTTTCTTCAACTCGTCCACTTGATCTTCATGCGACGGAATTTCGATTTTTACGAAAATACGCTTTACTTTCATCTTCCCAGTCTTACTTTAATAATACATAGGAACGGTGGAATATAGCTTCTATATTTCTTATTACAAACAGATATTTCTCTACTTAATTATGTACTTCATTTTTCTAATTCTTAGATACTAACTAAAAAAACATCCGGAAGTATAAGATAAAATAATCGAGGATATTTGCAATCTCATATAATGAAATTTATATGAGGTAGAGGGGGATACATATTGCGAAAGTCTGGTTATCAAAAGACAAAAAGCAAAGTACCAAATAGTAAGTGCAATAGTTGCAGAGGAGAAATTAGAAGAGTGATATAAATGTGTTTAATTAGACACGATAATATAAATGCAGAATGATTTTTCAATTTATGAGATCAACGTGATGCCGGTGTCAAAAGGAAGGCCTTCGAGTTTGCTCAATGTCGTTCAAAACCCACCACCATATCCAGACCCATAGACCCGTAGACCCGTAGACCCGTAGATCGGTGAAAGAAATGAAAAAGAAGCACACGTTTTACCTACAATGTTATATTCCGCTGCATTACCATCCATTTTACCAAAGTTTTTCAACGACAACAAAGTTTTTCAAAAAATGCGAGCATCAATCTCAAAGGCAAATCTAACGAACCTTGATGCAGAGAACGACAGTGAGTGACAATTGATATAGGTCACAATTTTTTCATTCAATTTGATTTCTTTTAAAAAGTCATTGCGATTTTCCTTTGTTTCTCTCGCAGTTAAGTTCATCCGTATGTTATCTTATAATAAAAATCCTTTTTCACATCTTTCCTAGCATCGTTATTTTTTTTACAACCAATTTGTAAAAATCTCGTTCATCTCGGTTTTAATGCTAATCGACTTGCACTGACTGGCTTCTGAATTCACCATATGTTTTTTAAGATAATAAAGGTTATGAGAAGACCTTATGAAATATATTATTTGACAAATCGATTCGTATATCGATGATAGAACGATATTCTGTTTTCAGCATAGTAGTCCGTAGTGTCTAAATAGATATTAAAATTTATCGTTTAATTTATCTATTTAATTTATATATTTAATTATCGCGTTGAATAAAGCCGTACAATACGTCCGGAGAACCAAACTTTAAAGACGTGCAACTTTTGAACCAATAGATTGCTGAACTTAACCGTTGCATTTCGCCTTTATTCATCGAGCACTACCAGAAAATGCAAGAAAAAAGGGAAGAAAAACGAATTAAAAGACGAATAATTCCCAGAGGAAAAGTTTACCCAAATTAGGAAATTATAAATTATGACTGAGACATTAAATAATGAAAATAATTCAGCGATGTATTAATGTTGTTTGTTTAAAAAACACACACACACAAACAAACAAACAAACGTAATAAGGTACCTGTTAGAAGAATAAGATTACGAACAGATACTATACAAAATCTTTTCTCTTATCAAAAAGTAAATATAGAAACGGTATAAAAGAGGCAAAGGAAAGAGAAGGGGAAGGTAGGACAAGGAAGACAAGGATAGAAAGAAAGGAGAGAATTTCCAAGAAGGGAAAGTCGTATACCTCGTTACAAAACGAATATAAGACAGTCAATTCTGATTTCAAAATTCGATTAATAAATTATTTACGACATATTACACAAAAGAGATAAAGTAAACATTACGTTTTATGAATGCACGTGGTTTTCCAGGGAAGCCAATATTTTTATATCCACTCATTTCTAACAAAATTTGGTTAAACACGTAAAATAGTATAACAAATAGGAGTAAAATTTCGTGAGAAAATTATAATGCTTTAAAATACTAATAGGAAAACTAATAACCAAGCAGAACAATACAAATAATAAGAGAAAGGTTATTTATGAAAACTGATATTAATAAAACTACATACGTATATGTTTTAACCAATATAAAAATGTAATTGTGGTTGAAAACCAACTTTATTCACATATACATTACATATAGTAGAGAATTAATAAAAAGAATCAATTATGAAATAAGATTTTATTATTAAACTCATCTGTTGGTTATATTTCAGTCTTTATTAAATTAGCTTGTTCTAATCAAATTTAAAGTGTTTTGTGAAAATAGTCGCTAACGAAAATAACAACAAATCTTTAAATAAACGAAAACTTCAAATTTTGTAAGTAATGTAATAAACAGATAACGTAATAAGAAAAAAGGAATCGATATATTTACAATCAATATACTTAATATACTCAATATACTTTTGTAACGTCAGATATTTTAGCTTATATTATTCTTAACGTATATTAATCTCGGTTTAATTTTGAATTCTATTAAAAAATTCCGTAAAATTTATCAGATACGAAAGAAAGATATCTCATTTTTATTCGTAGTCGTACATATTACACATGAACGTTACGAGAAAACAAATGAAATGCTAAATACACAAAAAAAATCACGTTTATAACAGGAACAAAAATTAATATTAATAAATCGCTTTATAGACTAATATAGATTTTATGTAGAAAACACTTGAACGAAAGTTTCGCGTTTAGTGGGAATTTAAAAATGAAAAGTGATACTTAACGGAATATAGGAAAAGAAAGAAGCAAAAGAACAGATGACTTACGTTTACGATACCGCGCCTAAAATCCTTCAGCAAAAGGTTCCAGGAAATTAGAAGGTTAACGCAAATAATACACTTCACACCACGTCACTGTTTATCACCATTGTAAAGATAATAGAATCGAATTGTAATAATTTTACCGGCGTCATCCGTACTAACAGATTTCTCGAGACACTGACACGAGCAGAAAAAGAAACGCTGTCTCTCGATGCTGTTTGCCGCGCATCTACCACAGGTACCTGTCGCGGTAGTTCTTCTACCAATGGCGGAAACTTTGCTGTGATAGGAGCTCTCTTGACTAATCAGTGGCTAGCATCTCAAACATAAACAAATCATACCGTTGAAAGTTTTCGCGCCTTTACGTAAATATATACACAAGCGGTTCTTAATCTTTTGTTTACTACGGACCTGCTTTAAATAAGTTTTTGTTGTCCCGGAGACCCTTAAGACTTAACTCAAAATTTAAATGCCTAATCTGCTAAATATGTATATTTAAAACACCCGTCAACTGTTCATCAACAACTCTTCTGATCAATTTAATTTTCAACTTTCAAATAACAAATGAGTCTACGTAAACAATTATTTAAATGAAAATTAATTTAATAACATTTAAATTTAAACGAAAAGCCAAACATTGCCTATACATGATACATATTACATATTTTGTCTAATTATTATTTTATCATCGCATAATGTTACAAATGAAATTAATTTATTAATCAATAAAATATTAAAAATCCAATAAAGCTATTGCAGATATTTTATTATAACTATAACCATCACATACATATATTTATAATTTATTTTTACAAGATGATTTTTTTAATCATTTTCTATTTGTACACATTTATAAATAATCCATGTTTTTTTAATCCCATGTTAGAATTTTTCTGCTTATTTTTACATTATTCTATATATTTATAACTTATTAATATTGTATAAGCATATAAATTATCTATATATAACGTGAAATTATATATGACATATTTATTCCTTAATAGTTTTCACAAATTATTATTATTTAGAATATTTTTCAGTTCTAAATTAAAAAAATAATATCACCCTAATCTATAAAAACCAAAAATAGTTACGAATGCTTGTAATAATTTAAAACACAACAAACATACAAATCTAAAATAAATTTATTTGAATATCTGCGTTTAATTAATCTGAAAGAAACAAAACAAAATAATTAGACTGCGTTAAACAAAAATTATATTGTATGAATTATCATACAATACATTACAAATTTTAATAATGTTTTTCTTCATATAACTAGTATTACATAAAAAAATGTGTTATTATCTACATTTTGCTATCTTTTCTTTTTTATTATTACACATTCTAGATAACTTTTTAAGTAAATCTACATATAGCAGAAAATAAAAATTTCGGATTAATTAAGAAAATAATGTGTTGAAGAATTAAATTCTTAATAATGCACGACAAAAGTGAAAATATTTAATATTTTTAAATATCTTAAATTTACTAACATTAATGGACAAATATACATTATACATACATATATATATATATATGTATTTGTGAAGAATACAGTTTAAAAATTTACTAAAAATTTGTTCATCAAGATGAATAATATCAATTTAAACAATATATTGCTGACTGAATGGAGACTCTATTATGATACAATGTTTACTAATTGCGGCACTGAGAAACAGTAAAACTATTTTTAAAACCTCTACTGAGTTCAATTTCGCATTTGTTTACTATGGAGTTATTTGCACAAGGAATTAATATTTCTTCATTTTCTATAGGTTTAAAACGCTTGGACGGCTGGTCTAAATCTTTCTCCAAATTGTCGTCTTCCTGTACCGGAGATTTTTTGGCAAGTGGCTTGTTTAAAGATTTCACGATCAAAGAATCTTTACGAAATGTGACCTCCTTTAAATCGTAGATGAAATCCTTATTTAGAGGCTTTATTTTGTTACGAATAGGACGCTGGGGTCTTAAATTGTCTTGCATATACGCACTTTCCTTTAAATTAGAATCCTTAAATTGTGCTCCTTCCCCTTTATTTTGTAATTTTGAACTAGAGTGTTCAGTTTCTTTCACACCTGTTTGTTTTGCGGAGTGAACTTCAGAAGATCCAAAGATAACTTCCATCACCATTTTTCTAAGATCTTGATCCGCTCCCAAATTATTTTCTTTAATACCATTATCCATAGTTTCTTGAGTTTTACCATTTTCATGAACTACTATTGAATTTTTATCAACTATTTTTGTCTCTGTTTCATTCGTCCCTTTCTCTCTCATTTTAACTTCTAATCCCATATTTCCTGGTGTAATGTTAACTTCTACAACTTCTGGAGCATCAATTTCCTGTTCTAAATTCGTTATATTCGACGTAATATCTTGACCACACAAATACTGGTCATCTGGTATCTGAGTTATCATTTCATCTATAACAACACGATTGTTTTGAGCGTTGTGAACTTTATTGCAATGTGCTATACAATCACACTTAACGAAACACTTATAGTCACAAAGTCTACATTGATAACGATTCCATCCAATATGAATGGCAGCATGTCTTCTTAGATTATGCACAGAAGGGAATTTTCGTTTACATGGAAGGCACTGAAGCTTCTCAAAGTTTACTATTGAAGCTACTTTCTTTTCCATTGATAATACATGATCCAGTTTTTCAGTTGCTGTGTCATGCCCAACGTTCGCTTCTACAGATGTGCCTTTTGCAATATTTTCTAGGAATGATATAATATATCATATTACATACTTTTTGTTTTATATATTATATTCTTTTTGCCGAAACAAAAATCAAAATAAAAAGATTTGTAAAATATATTTGTATAAACTATAACATCTTAAATCTTATAGGTATAAAATATGAGATATTGTTTTTACCTGCATTATTATTCAATCTTTTTGTACTTTCCTTATTTTTTCGTTTCTTGCTTCCAATATTAGCTTTATGTTTGTTTATACTAGTATACACAATTTCTAAAGGGTCAGAAACATCACTTGCAGAAGAAAGATTGTCTTTCACCAAGTTTTCTTGTACTCCATTTGTAAGAATTCTTGCAACATTTCCATTAGATACATTTTGTGAAACTAATCCTTCGCTATTTAACATATCCCAGTCGGCTTTACTTAAACTGGCAACTGCTTCCACGCGAATAGATGTTTCATTAGTATCTCCATTTGAAACATCATTTGATGGAATTTTATTGATCTTTTTGTCTTTAGTTATACTTTCATATGCTGCAACACGCCTATTACAATATTGCAAGTGAGCTGATAACGCTGCTTTTCTATCAAATCTCTTTCCACATCCACCACATCTTTGTAACTCTGTATCCAATTCTAACTGATCTATCCATTCCTATTAAAATAATGTATTTTATATTAACAATACTTCAATAAAGACAAAGATATAACTATAATTACCAAAATACCTGTGTTTCATTAGCCCTTAGTGCACTATTCACTAAAGTTTTTTGAGCATCCTCCTTTTGTAAATCTTCAGCAATGGTAGTATCTTTAATAAATGCTTTCTCTTGAATTTGTGATCTGAGTTTCCTCACTTGTTCATTAGATTTTCTATGAACTATATTTCGTATTTAAAAATTTCATTAAAAGAATTCTAACTTCTAAAAAATTAATTCTTGTAGAATTTTTAGTGCTTATTATTAATCCTTTCGCAACTGCGAGATATTTCGTTACCACAATATCGTTTATCAACACCATAGACGAAATACGCCACCATAATGATGTCGCTTACGCAACGCTATGAACGAGATATCTCATTCTGCAATAATATTTATGCAATGCTACGGAGGAAATATCTTATGTCAGTATTTACAATTGAATGTTAATCATCAGACTCTCTCTGATATTCTGCAGCTCTCTCTGTTTCTAACTACAACATTTAGAGTTGCATTTATTTATAAGAATATAACGTATACGTCAATCACCATTTTGTCAACGTTTCATCCCAAATTTTCCAATAAGACATTCAGCATCCTAATAAAGACACACAAGGTATCTCATCCATGCAGCGATATATCTCATTCGCAGTTGTAAAAGAATTAAAATTACAATTATTTTCCTCAAGAAGTTATAAAAATTACTTAAATTTAATTACATAATCATTAATGAAAATTATTGAAATTAATAAAAATATTATTATAATACTTTTTGCACACCTTTAAAGAGATGCCTATAAACACTCCACGTATTTGCAAATGTACTAGAACAACAAGGACATGGGTAACATAACCTGTGAGATGTATGTAGTGTCCTTGTGTGAACTGTTAATGTTTTTTTCGTTGAAAATTTTGCATAACCTAAAAATTAAACAACAATGCAATTACAATTTAAGATGAATAAGTATTATTATGCATATAATGGACAAAATAATAAAAACATACATATAGGACAAATAACTTCCTTATCACTTTCTTCATTATTACGAACTTGAGTTACTGTATTACCACTCAACTTTTGACTAAATTCTAAGACTTGGCCATTCAGATCTAACATTACAGTCCTCTCATTTATATTTTTTAGCTCTGTTACCTAAATATTATTTGGTTGAGACATTAATAAATCATTAATGTATTGGACCAAAATTTAAATAGCTCTAATTAATTCTATTTGTAATTATTTGCAAGTATTATAATTATTTATAAATACCTGTGCTTTCATTAAATCTGTATTACTCTCAGTTGAAAACACTGATTCAACAGTTTGATATACTGCCGATGAATTTGAATGTACAGTCTCCAAACATAATCGTTGAGTGTTTGTTTGTATGTTTTCTATTTGTTTTTTCTGGAGCGTATTAACAATCGCGGTGAGATCCTTCTTTTCCTTTTCTTTGCAAGCTTGACTTCTTAAAATTCGATCATTTCCACATCCTTCTTTAAATAGGCCCTGCGTTTTTTGTATGTCTAAATTATTCGTAGAAGTCTGTAACATATGCAATCCATATACTACATATGCATATACATATATATACTTATATATGTACAGGTAATATATTATACATAATAATAATATACACATATGATATATTATACATAATATACATATGCATTTCTATTTCTAAGATGAATTGTGACAACTTGATAAAAATATAACAGATTCAGATAATTTACAAAACAAGTTGTAGTAAGTATTATGTAGAATGATCATTTTATATTATATTTTTCTTTATGTATATGAAATAAAAAAATTTTCTTTAAGTAAAAATATTGTTACTACTTGAATATGTATAGATTAGATACTAATTAAAATTATCTAGTCTTAAGTAAATATATCCAAATTAAAACATTTAACGGTATTTCAAACAACAATTAAATGAGATATTTCACCAATATTATCACGAAATATTGCAATTATATAAAAACAAAATTCCTTTTATTCTTAATATTAGGTTTATATCAGATTATTTATATTTTATAATTCTAAATTTAAAATGCATTATCTAATATTCTATATATTTTTAATTGAAAATATTACATAATTTTGAAGACAGATAAGGTTCTGAATCATCTAAACATCTTATTATCTAGTTTTTGCCATATGACTCATTTTATCAAAGTTAGATTCCATCAAAATATTAGTTAAGCAATCTTTAGATACATTTTCAAATATTAATTTTTAGCAATCTTGTCTTTATATAAAAATATATTAAAATACTATATCATATACTATATCATACATACTATATCATAATCGTTGGAGGAGTCCCTAACAAATGTAACATCAAATTTTTCTTTACAATAGACACGTTTATGAGAAATAAAATTGACCAAACTTCTAAAAAGGCTTCGGCATATGCGACATTCATATACTAAATCACATTCATATGCCAGAATAGATCTAACTTCATCACTGCCATTTTCTAAAATTTTGCTCACACGATATAAAGTCGAATCACTTATGTCTATAGGCGGATGTAGTTGTGATAAGTCTGGATTTACAGAAGTAATTCCTTTAGGAGAAAATTTAACTTTCCCAAATTTCCCATTTGATTTTTTAGCTTTTGTCTTTGATTTCATTTTGTATTGAGCGTTGTATATCCAACGTATTATCTTGTTAAAACTGCAATGAATAATACATTATTAAATTATATAAGCTCGTAATATCAAATTTCTTACAAAGTAAAATGTTTATGAAATTCATAAATCGCACTATGACAACTAGTTATAAATTTAAGAAAATTAGATGTGTTAAAGAAGAAACAATATGAGAATAAATATAGTTGAAAAATTGAAGATGTTATTTACAAAATTACAGAATTATATATGAAAACTAAGGTTTAAAAAGAACATGTATTATTTTTCTTAACAACTAGAATACTTCAAAATTCAGTAAAAGTTTTAGATTTAAAAGTATATTGAGAAAAGCGTACAATAGAGATGTACCGTCTCTCCTGCATTTTACTGCGTAAAAATCGGTCTTTACTTTATAGATTTTGAATTTATAAATAAAATAGAATACCAAGAATCAAGGAAACGTATTAGAACTGTATTATCCCACAAAAAAATAACGCAATTTAACTCTTCTTAAACGAGGTGGATCCACGATTTCGATCAAGCTGCGACCTCCATTTTTCCGAAACCTAGAAGTTCTTGATTCTACCACCGCTTTGATGAAACGGTATCAAGTAGCACTTTCAGTTCACGGATAAACATTTTTACTTGCTTTTCAACATTTCTTACACATGGAACATTACAAAGTAATCAATTATACAGTATAATTACGTACAATGATAGTTTGATGAATTTGTAAAATCAAAAAAAGATTACGAATATTATACTCTTTCATTTGTACATTGATCATAACAGGTTATGTCACAGGAATTTTTAGAATGCATCGAAATCTCAGAATGGGCTTATTCGTTATTCTACATATATGAGTTAAAATAATAATGATAATTATGACAATAGCATTTTTAGTAAATATTATAAACTAACTTAACAAATTCTATAGACATAACGACAGAAAAAGATTACATGATAATATATAATAACAAATGACACTAATGTAAATAATGAAAAAATTGACTTACTGTGATAATTTACATTGTTCTACATTTTTTAAATGTATGAATGTTAGAATGTATTATTCTAATAATTTACAAACTTACTGTGAATATCATTACTGAATATAATTTCCTTAGAAATTATTCAAATTTTTTAAGTTTATTATTATATCTAAAATATATATATATATTTTTAGTATAATTGCTTCTATTACAACTTTATTTTATTTTTTACATTTGTTAATAAATATCCTCAGAATTGGTTTAACAAATACAAAAAGATATGAATGGTTTAAATAATTTCATTTCAGTTTATATTTAAAATTAAAGTGACTATCATTAAAATTAAATCAGCTTTTATTATAATTAAAGTACCTATTATTAAAACTGTTAATGACAAAAAATAATTAATCATACTGCTGCTACAAACTAATGTCAATATTCTTATAGAAACTATATATATATAATGTAAAATTCAAAATTAAAATTACATGACCATTTAATGGCAATGAGTTTTTTACCTGATACTTTTAATTCTTTTCAAAATTACATTTTGTTGACAGAGAAATAAATTCAATTAACAGTAATAAAGTTGTTCAGAAATGATCTCACAACCTTAAAACATGGAAAAAATGTTACTTTATAATTCTATTATTTTATTTCAAATCTTATGTATAGAATGCTCTGTAACTAGTGGTATAACTGGAAAAAGGGTGATTCTATATGAAAAAATAGATCAAAAATATAGAATAACATTTTTTTCATACAAAGTTTCTATTGCACAGATAATGTATCACTAGCAAATATCGTTTTCATAATGTAATTATCAAATGTTATTAATTTTCAGTTCATACATTTTTTCGAATTGGACCTTATGATTAATTGAAACATTATTTTAGAAACCCTATATTCTTAAAGAAGACATTCCATTATTTATAATAAACTGTCTCAAATAAATACAAATTAGATATTTGTGTAAGCTACATAAACTCATAAAAGGTTTATTGTACAGCCACGCATGCGCCATTTAGCATCGTTTTTCGTGAAATCGTTCGAAAGAATCTGTTCTTCATATTTTTGGGCTGTCATACGTAAACGTAATCGTATAGGAATGAATTGTAATTGATCGTAGTCGTTTTTCCAAATAACACGAAACGTGACGAATAAAAAAAATGGTGTTAAATGATTGTCCAGAATCGGAAATAATTGGTTGTGGATTTAGTGCTTTTAAAGAAATCGACGAAGTGACTTTTTTAATTACTGAACTAAAAAAGGTGGATCTTTCTCCGAGCCTTATTGAAAAGAATCGAGACCGATTTAATTTTATCTTATCACAATATCAGGATCAAAGGCAATTGCTAGATCCTTATTTGGATGATATTCTACAGCCACTGATTGGTATTATCAGAGATGAGAATTCTACGGAAATTATGCGGCATAATGCTTTTAAATATATTTTCATTGTTATGTCCGTTAAAACATACAAGAAGATTGTTACATACCTTCCACATGAGGTATGCAGATGCTTTAATTTTTTTAACTTCATTTTCTCTCCCCCTTTCCCGCTCTCTCTCTCTCTCTCTTTCTTTTTTATATTTTAATCTCCAAATATATAATTTAATTTGATACAGGTAGCAGATCTTTTCCCTGTTTTACGAATGTTAGAAAAACAAGATCCAAATGATGTGGAGACGTGGGAAACTCGTTATGTACTTTTAATTTGGCTTTCTATAATTTCAAAGATACCATTTCCACTCTCACGTTTAGAAGTTTCTGATACTAATTCCGAGCAAACAATAATAGTTAGAATATTGAAAATATGCAAATTATTTTGCGTATCAAAGGACGCTTGTGCAGTAGCTGCAGTTTTTCTAATTGCCAATTTTTTATCAAGATCAGATGTAAAAAAGTTGTATTTGAAAGAAATGATAACATGGAGTTTACAATGTGTAGAAACTGATCCTTTGAGACATGGTCCATTAGCAGTTATAGCAGCTATATTAAAACACAGTGCAAGAGAAGATGTTAAACCATATATTCAAATGATTTTGGATAAAGTTTTAGAATTTCATCTGAATGATAATCCTGCAGATCTTATTCGGAAGTTTGGAATTAAAATTGTACAAAGAATTGGATTGGTGTTACTAGGAACAAAATTGGCTCCATGGAGATATCAAAGAACTAGTAGACCTATATGTCTAGATCCTAATATTAATACTAACTCTAACATTATAGAAAGTATGGAGGATATTAAAAATGTTTCATCGAATCATGATGACCGGGACATTCCATCAGCAATAGAAGATATAATTGAACAACTTATACAAGGTCTTAGAGATAAAGCAATTACAATACGGTGGTCTGCTGCAAAAGGAATTGGTAGAATAACAGCAAGATTGCCAATGGATTTAGCAGATGAGGTTGTAGGATTTGTGCTAAATCTTCTTTGTGGTCGTGAATCGGATGCTGCTTGGCATGGTGGTTGTCTGGCATTAGCAGAATTAGGAAGACGTGGTCTTCTTCTTCCTCATCGTCTAAACGATGTGATACCAGTTGTCCTTCAAGCCTTAGTATTTGATGAACCAAGAGCTTATGGTTCAATTGGATATTTAATTAGAGATGCTGCATGTTATATTTGCTGGTCATTTCCAAGAGCATACGATTCTGATATAATTCAACCTTATGTAAAAGAAATTGCAGCTATGTTAGTAGTTGTTACTTGTTTTGATCGAGAAATTAATTGTAGAAGAGCTGCTTCTGCAGCATTCCAAGAAAATGTAGGAAGACAAGGAAATTTTCCACATGGAATAGAGATACTTACAATTGCTGATTATTTTGAAGTTGGAGTTAGAAATCATGCATACTTAAAAATTAGTGCACAAATTGCACAATATGAAGAGTATACAAAATCTTTGATTGATCATTTGATTACAAGAAAAGTTACACATTGGGATACAGCAATTAGAGAACTTGCAGCCAAAGCCCTCTTCAATCTAACATCTATTGATCCTAATTATATTAAGCATACAGTTTTATTAAATTTATTAGATATGTTAAATTCTATTGATTTAAATATTAGACATGGTGCAGTATTAGCTATTGCAGAAATCTTGGAAGCATTGTATAATTGCTGCAATGAAAAAATTGAAGATATAATTGGACTATCAGCTGTGGAAAATGTCAGAAACATAGTTAACATTTTTAGGAAAAGAGGACAATTCAAAGGTCTAGGAGGAGAATTAATGAAACAAGCATGTGCTGTGCTCATAAAAAAGTGCTCTATTGTTCATTTTCCAATTTCCGTTGAAATTATTTGTAAGTTTGATATCTTGTATTATAAATTTTCATACATAAAAACATATATAATATTATATAATATTCATAAAAATTTACAACAATTAATAAATTTATGCTGAAAATATAATTAAAGTTTGACTCACAAAGTATTAACCATCTATAACAAAATTGTAAAACAAAATATTAATTCCTATTTGATAATGTTTTGTGATAGTATATGAAAATACTTTTTATATTTTCATTACAATATATTATATTATATATTATTTAAACACAGTGTAAATAAACAAATATTATTTTTGAAGGTGAGTGGCAAAATCTTTTAGAGGAATGTTTGGGTCATGAAGTATCTGTAGTAAAGATGAAAGCTGCTGAAGCACATACAGAATTTTTCCGAAAATACTATGCAAACATGGATAATCAAGATCGCAATATTGTTATTAATCGTTACCTTGATAATTTACAATCAAGTAATCAACTTGTTCGAATAGGCTTTGCACAGGCTATAGGTAATGTGAAAACGTTCTTAAAAATTTTATTGTGGAAGGTATCGTATGATGTATTTCATAGTATACGTAAAGTTAGGTCTATTATGTCAATTATGACCTTTAACATAATATGGTATTTATTTTATTTATTAAATAATAATCATTCTTTTGTAGGCTATTTCCCTTTATTTATAATTTGTGAAAGAGTAAAAGATATAATAGAAGCTCTCATTAAATGTACTGAAATATCAGAAAGTTCTTTAAAATGGGCAGAAAGTAGGAAAGAAGCTATTCATGCATTAATAATGGTTTGTCAAACTCTGGGAGTAAAAGAAGCAGGTTTGTTATTTCTTAAATTGGAGTTTAGAATAATTAATTAATTAATTCTTCACATATTGTTTAAATGATGTTTTATATTTTTTAGATAAATGGCGTATATATATTCACAACTTATATGATTGTTATTTATTGGCATTGAAAGAATATACTATAGATAGCCGTGGAGATATAGGAGCTTGGGTACGAGAAGCAGCAATGACTGGTTTACATGTAAAAATATCTTCAATATCCCATATTTACATATACATATGTTTACTTAAATTAAAACTCTTTAAATAATTTCAGATGTTAACAAACTTAGTATCACAAGCAAAATTATTTTCTGTATTAAATGAAAACTTAATGGCAAATATAATTGGAGGAATTGCACAACAAGCTGTTGAAAGAATTGATGGAATTCGAGCGCAAGCCGGAATTGTTTTCAGTGCTCTTATTCATAATGATCCTCTTTTACCAAACATTCCATATCATGCAGAATTAAAAACTCTTTTTCCTTATGATGAATGTAAAGAAAATATAGAATGGCGAATGGAATCTGCTACTTTCCCACGATTTATTAAAATGTTATCTTATCCTCCTTATACAATGAATCTTCTACGTGGAATTATATTTAGTGTTGGTGGTTTAAGTGAATCTTTGGTATGGAATTATAATGAAAATATAATGAATTATATATTATGTTTAATATTCGATCTTTTGTATAACATTTTCGATTTTTCATTTCAGGTTAAATATTCTAGTGTTTCCCTATTTTCTTATTTACAAGAATTAGATGAATTGGGTCTCAAAAGTTTATGCTATAAAATTTTAAATATTTTTGAGGAAAGTCACAAAAATGAAAGAATGATTACATCAATGCTAGCTTTCTTAGATCGCTTACTTAGTTCCGGTTGTATCCAAGTCGTTCTTGATGATTTTGAAAATGAAATTGCAGAACAAATTCTAATACTGCTTAAACAAGAAATAAAAAATACGAACAATACTAAGTTGTTAATTAGCAGTATAAATGTATTTTGTCAGCTCTTACAGGTAGTTAGTATATTCCAATGTTTAGTATTAAAAATAATAAAATGATCTTGAACTAATAACAAGTTTTTACAGATACACGGACCAGTTGCAAAAAGAGCATTTTGTCAGTTAAGTATTTTTCTTTGTCATAAATATAAATGCATACGGAAAGTAGCTGCATTAAGAACATATGAAGCTTTAACTCTTTATGGGGAAGAAATGGATCTTTCAGAACAAGATTTAATGAAAATTTTGACTGAATTAAATGTCACTGACTGGGAACAATCAGTATCTGAACTTCGACCCATAAGAAATCATCTTTGTGATTTAATGAAAGTACCTGCTCCTATTTTGCAAAATAAGGCCATGAACTGAGCTTGCTTTTAAATTTTGTCGCGTCTCAGTTAAATTGGTACGTAGAATACTGATTTAAAATACTTATTTCTTTATAACATTGTTTTGTCATACAGGCTATTTGCCCAGAAAATAGAATATATGCCTAATATCAAATTCGTTTCTAATAATACAAGATATGAACTTCATATTATATTATGAGCTAATTTCATATTATATATATGAGCAATATATTATAATATGAACTTTGACTCTAATTATTTTATTCATCATAGCTTCTAGAACGATAGTTAGAAACCATGAACAATATTATTACTATTTCATTCTGTATTCACACATAGAATTAGAAATTTTTGAACATCTACTATTGGAAGAACTAAAAGACATTTTTTAACAATTTCTTCTTATTTCATTACATCTTCCTGGTACCAGGACTCCCTATTTGCCATTAAAACTTCTATTGCAACAGCAAACATCATAATAACATAGTAATTTTAACCGTTTTTTAGTGAGTACTATCATAAATAGTAGTACTATCATAAAGTGTTTCCAATAGCTTTTTGGATATTATCTTTATTATAAAAATACAGTTCACATATTAAAAGTTCTGTAATACAAATAAAAACAAAACATACACAAGTATGCAACTAATATTACAATCTGTTACTAAATATATAAAATAGTAAATTTTCAATTTATTAAAAATAAATAAATTAACATTCATTTCTATCAAAAAGCTTCATTTTATCTGTTTCAAAATTTTCCTCATTAATTGTAAGGTTATTTTGCATATGGTAACTTAATATCTTTGCACCACATTTTTCTAAAGTCCATTGTTTTGTCCACCAATTAGAATGATCAGTTTTGTTTGTTAGTGGATTTTTTGGCAATGGACAGTTATAATGTTTCTTATTGACAATTTTTGTTTTCCTTGGTTGATATATGCTTTTACAAACAAAACATTCAAATTCTTCAACATAATTTCCAAATTCATTAGATAACCATTCCTCTTTTCTTTCTAATGCCTTTCTTAATCTTTCATTTTCAATTTCATAGTCGTCAATTAATTTGTGGGATAAATATTTATTATATTCAATTTCATTATTGGAAAGATTATATAAAAATTTGGCTAAATTTACTGGATTTTTAAAATCGAGTATTGATATAGCAGACATATTATTTGGAAGCCAATCCTAAAAAAAAGATCAAAACTGTATTATATTATAATCAATTTTGTTGAATGTATATATTTATATTAGACAGTTGGAGTTGAAGAATACAACTATTTTAGTTAATTATTTATTTACCAAGAACAAGAAATTTTGTTTCGAATAATTGACTACTTTTACAAAATTCTCATTACATTTATAGACAATTTCGTTAAATTGTCAATACTAGGCTTCAGGCAAATTTTTACAACCGTTTTGACTTGTTTTATAATGAATAGTAATATCAATTTAATAAATCAAATAATGTTATATTTACCCAATATTTATATAGTTTTGAAACTGAAATTTGTATGTAAATTACATTAAATGAAATTAAACATTGATTAGTTTTTTAATATCAATACAATTAAATCAAGAAATTTATCTTCATTCGAAAAAAATCAATTTAATCTATTAAGCAATAAAAATAATAGTTATATAACAAATTTTAATACTTTGAATGATGGTGATCCATAATATATAGGTATAGATCCAACAATAAGGGGCCTCCACAATTTTTCAGTGATATAGTCATCGCAGACTGCATTTTCAAAAGCTATTGTAAACTTGTAATTGGCAATAAAAGAAAGAAAATCTTCACTGTTCAATATTTCAAGGTAATTTTCCTTTAACCTAGATTATAGTTAAACTCTTTATAGAAACAATACAAATGGTAGAATTGACTTTATTTAAGTCTGCAAAAATATTGTACCTTTTCTCAAGTTGAGCATTATTTAAACATGCGCCATATGAATCTATACGTATATATTTCATTAATTCAGCTACATAAATATCTCTGTTACTTGCAGTATCACAATCAGATTGTATATAAAGTAATGGTGCCAAATTTCTTTTATACATCAACCTTGTTTTTTCTTTTGTAGATACAAAGTATTTTCTATCTGTAAAATTGAAGTATTAGTGTTACTATTAATTAAACAACTTCTGTTTATAACACTATACTGTAATGAAAACGGGACCAGATTATTAATAATTTAAATATATATGTATATTGAATTCTTTATATTCACCTAATAATTCTGTAATTCCAGGTAGATCTGCAAGAGTTAGAGGTACATCACTAAATCTGCTAAATGTTGAAGAGTATGTAAAAAGATTCAGAGTTTCCTGTTGAACTAATATTGGATTATTTCTTGGGGATTCTTCATGAAGCAAACCCCACGGAATTTCGTCGGATTTCCATTTTGGTAAATCATTAATTCGAAAATTACTACCATAGAAAAGAAAACTCTGAAAATTAAGAGCGATATATATTTCAAACAATAATGCTGAAAACAAGTATGAGCAATTTGCACATTTATAACATTAAATTTAATAAATTATAAATCATTGATTTTGTAATAATAAATTAATTAATTTCTACTTAGTACCAATACTATTTTACAACTATTTGAAAAATACAAAATATTAATCGAATTTGTAATAATAGGACTATCTTAATTTTAGAAAATAGCTGAAATTTCTTAAATTTTCAATATACCCGAAAATTTATCTTTAATACAAGTCATAAAAATGTATATACATTACTTTTATCTGTTTATGATATTGAAAGGATCGGTTACTTGTAAAATAACACTGATAATTTTCACAGTCCCGTAATTTTTCATCATTTCCAAAAGGTGTCCACCATAGAATTATGGGTACATCTAAAAAAGTATGATAAAAATATATGTACTAATATTTTCTTAATTTTTATACTTTTGGTTTATATTTTATACTTTTTTAGAGATATTAAAAACTTGATGCATTTTATATACCTGGATGATGTAATCTGTTACCATTCTGAATTAAGTAAACCTGTTAATAATATTGATCTTAAAACTCATCAACCTCATTATTATCTTACTTTATCAATAATTTAAATAATAGTATTTGGTATTAAAATAATTTATTGCGTAATTATTGATATTGCAGAGTAGAAAAAGATTGGTTATTAATTTATTATTATCAATTATTTTGCATAAAACATTTCATTATTAATGTTTCTTACATAATTATATAATTTTATTTTATAACATTTAACCATTTGAGGGATGCTGACACATCACATGTGTTAACATATTTTCAAATATTATCTATTTTATTTAATATTTATAAACATTATATTTTAAAGAAATGTAATTAAAAAATAAAAACTAATCATCTTTCACTGCCTGTAATGAATTCATCCTTGAAGAGGTTTAAAAATTAAATTAAATATTAATAATATTCATTAATTTTTCTTTTATTTTTGTACAACAGAATTGACAATTTGTTATCATAACATGATAAATTACTTGATATTAAAGCTAAATATTTTATTATTTATATTAATAAATATCAACGTATTCAAATAATGATGTACTATCTTAAACTATTTTTGCAAATAAAATTGTTCTAGCGTAACGTGTACTCATATGCATATATAAAAAATACTGTGATATTTTATGCTATAACATACATTATATACACGTGTATACATTATGTATATGTATGTGTTGTTAATAATAAATATTAACATAATATAATACATACTATTAGCAAATATATAAATACCTGGTAAATTATTATACTAAAAGTTAAGGCGGTGATTGTTGCAAATATAAAATACATTTTCTGACAAAAATACGACATTTTATAATTATTTAATTTTAATATTCGACGATTACTTTTGTTGTATTTCTGTTCTGTTGTTGATTTGGTGTTTTTAAATATATTTCATTTTAATCTTACTCAGATGGCAAAATGTTTAATATTGTTATTTATATAAGGATTGTCAAGTTTTTACAAGGAAGTAGTTATGACAAATTATACTTCAGTTTTTGTCCTTGATCATTTTAATGTTCGTATATCAAAATTTAATTGCTTCTAATTGCTATCTTGTATTCAATTTTATATTATATTTACTTTTTTACTATATTATATCTAATTTTATATTATAGCTACCCAAATTTAATAATGGAATATTATTTCGTCAAAACAGTATTTTGCCAATAGTGTTTTAAAGGTTTAAAGTTTGAAAGAAATAAAAAGCCTATATTGCACTCTGTCAACTAAAACAATTTGAGGTTAAGTTACAGATAAGAAATATAAATGATACAAAAAGGACACTACTACAAGAAATGGATAAATTGCAATGGAAAGACGAGAATTGTCGTAATTAATAATTACTAGAAATAATCATTTCTTAGAAAGTTTGTAACATGCAAAAATGATAAAAGCCATTAACTAGTCAGTGGTGAAAAAAAAATAAAGGAATTGTATATGATGTACAAACTTTTTTACATACATATATAATATTCATGTGTAACCTAAACCTATAGTCAAACATATATCCGCGAACACACACAAAACTTTCTAAAGATTTGTAACAGCAAGTCGGTCATGGTTACGATCACGGTTGCGATCAGGATTACGATCACAGTCACGGTTACAGTCACGCTCCTGACTTCTCTTTGACGGTCAACGAACTCTCTCTTCTCCTTTTCTTTATTCATTCTTCCTTTCTCTCCATCAGTTACAGTTTTCCTAACGACGTTGCTAGATGCATCTAGGCCAGGCTATCGCAAGACAAATTCTGCTGCAACAAATGAACGACTTATGTATTTAAAACTACTAAATAACTTTATAATCTCCTTTTGATATTATCAAATCTCAGATCCTCATACAAGTGTATCACATATACCTACATAAATATATATAATTGTTTATAGTATATATAACATATATTATATTATACATATAACATACATTATATATGTTATATAATATACATATTATATATTATAATATATGTTACAAAGTTAAAATAATAAATAAGAAAAAGTATACTAATTGTAACTAAACCAATCCACTGTGCCAAGGAAGCTTCTTGTAATGAATGTAAAGTCTGATATACAATAAAGTATTATTATTATATTATTATTATACATTATATATCCTAATACGTGAAAGTTACAATATTTATTGTAATTATAGTTTGAGAAATATTGTTACTGTAACATATGGCCATATAATGGTATATGTATCTAAATAGAAGTTAGTAGTTACTAATTACCAAAAGTTCAAGTTTAATAGTAAATGAAAGAAATTCAGAGCTGTTCTGCGTCCGCGATTTGCGAGGAAAATCAAATTAGTGTAAACCTCTTATTAGATACGCTCCAAAGTTTTTAACTTCCTGAATGAAACATAAGATGAAATTCTGAATATCCGATTGATTTATATAAACTTTTAATAGTCAAACACTGTTGACCTTGTTTTACTGATGGGTAATGACATATAATGTTAAACATATTACAAAATTTCAAAGAATGAATATCTCATTATTCGAAAATAAATGAACATGCTTAGTTAAAACGAAAGATTTCGATTACGCAGCGAAATGCAATTAAAAATTATTTTCTCAGAAATTGATTTCCGTGAAAAGGTACGTGTATATATGATCCATCGACATCATTTGAGCTACAGTGATATATATTGATTCAAAGTTAAGCTTACACAATTCTAAGGAAATAACAATCCAAGAAAAAGAATGTGGAAAATTTTAAAAAAATATGGGATATTTATTTCCAAATAGATGTCATTGTTATTCTGCTCATTTTAAATCCGATCCCAAACGTTGTAAATCAAATACAATTTATTCAATTCAAGTAGAAGTATGTACCGTTTACCAGTTTAAATTGATGAAATTTTAAATGGCCTTTGAAAAAGGTAATTATGGCAGAAAGTCTATATCGAATATAAAGAGGACGAAATAACTGTATATCGTTTAACTGTAAACTGTCTAAGAAGCTAGGATTAAATTCCTAATTACATTAAATGTGTATTTCTTTATGAGGAGAATATAATTAAAAAATGTTATCATATATTAATAAATCGATCAAAATGTATTCATTTTAAGACATTAAAAAAATAAAAATGATAATGACGACCGCATTTAATTGATCGCAAATAATATATAAACAAAATACAGACTGCTTCATATAATTCAATTTATACAAATAAAAATATAAATCACAGAAAAACATTCAATACACTATTACATAAAGCTAGCATTAATAGAATCTAAAGTGATTTTTCGTTGAATACTTAATATAATATGTTTAGTATTGAAAACATTTCAATAAACTACTGTTACATTTTTTATGATTTGAAGTTAAAGTGTTTGTCTGGTAACAAAATAATTTCACAAGACCTGACAGTTAAAAAGACCAGTTTTATTATTGCATATTAATTTTCAAAAATCAATTAAGTCAGGTTCCAATATACTATTATTCATATTATAATTATAAAACATAAAATCATTGCAGTTCAATTCGTTCATAATTTTGTAATCAAGGCACATCTTCTCAAGAATAAGTCAGTGTCTAATACTTTAATACTTTTGAGCAGTAGTAAATACATCTAACAAATATTTTGAAAGTTTCACAAAAAAGAAATATAAATTAAGCGAAAAGAAAATTATTGCGAGAAATGGATAAATTGAAGAAAGTTGAGAACTGTCATCGTGAAGTATTATTGGGGAAATAACTATCATAAAGGTAGTAGGGTCGTCGATCTGTGGTTCACAGTCCTCCGGAAAGTCGACAGTTCGATGTATGCTCATTCCCCACCTTCTCCTCTTTCTATATCCTCTATCGTTCACGACCCCCTTATTAAAACGGCGCACGCGCGATATTCTGGTAAAATTTCGCAGGGCCGTATGAATTTAAAGATGCGCACTCTATCTGTTACATTTATTGTATGAAAATATTCATTTATCTACACGATAAGTGCCACCACGTACCATATATTACATAAATTAATATTAGAACGTTAAGTAATTGCCATAATAAATATAAGCAACAAAAATAACAATAAGGGTAAAGAATAAAAGAATCTTAGGATATCTCCAACAATTTGCGTTCTATAGACAGCCCTGATTCGACGATGGGATCAGATTTTGCGCATGCGTAAGAACTCCTGAAGGATCCTTAACACAAACTGAGAAGAACAAGCGATCCAAAGTCAGTTGCTGGCTGGGTATCTTTATTGTGACGAATATAATTCGTCGCTCGTGACTCGTACCTCTCTTGCGGTACTTTTCTCTGTCTGTTTTTTAGTGTTTTCTCAAAACTTGCACATATATCTGCCTTCCTTCTTGTCTAGTGAGTATACTTGATTTACTTGGCAACAAAATCGTAATGCTTTATTTAAATCAATTTATTTAAATTATCTTTATTATACATGTATATCATATATTTATTAATAAAAATTATGAATTTAAGCTATAGATATGTGAAAACATATTATTTATTTAATATTTACCTATTATTGGGTGATTGAAGGAAGTTCGCATAATTACTGTATATTATACTTTGGTCATTGTATTTAATTGCCCTTTTAAAAATAATTATTTTTCATTTTCTATCTAATTTTTGTCGATATTTATTAAACAAAGTATTATTTAGAATCTTTCAGTTTAATGTATTTATTTACAATTTATTTGACTAATTATTTTTTTTATTCTTCCATAATTATACTTGAATCTTCGATCTTTACTATTTGTTATTATTCTGTCACTTTAATCGATTTACAGCTTACAATTTACAATTTAAAGATAGCTTTGTCAAGCTGGGTTGATGAAACGCCAGTCATTGTTCTGGCTTTCGTATCGTGTTATTGATTTTGCATTACGGTTTAATTAACCGATTTTTGAGTCTTATACTCTTACATTTTTTTGTATAGTTCCTATTCTTGTTGCTAGTAATTTAGCAAGAATTTAAGATATAATATTACATACATTTATATAAATATAATTATATCGCTCAATAATATAGCGAATAGGTATAAAAAAATGATAAAAAAATTAGTCATTTGTAGTAATTAGTAAGTAGTAATTGAAACAATTTTTACTACAAATTTTCGTTAAATAAATATTTACTACGATAATAAAACAACAGGGGAAAAAGGTATAAATAAATCAAACGATGAAAAAAAGATCAATTTTCTTTATACATAATTTCTTCACTTATTTTGCATTTAATATATACTTGATTACATGTCTTTTGCTTTACAATATCTAATCAAGGTAATGATATTGAAGAACTGTCATAGCATGGAATAAAGTGCGTTGGAATTTATAGATAAAAAAGTACAACATACTTCTTTTACGATTAAAGAAAATAGACGATCAATAGAAATTAATAAGGTTCGCCCTTACAAAAAAAAGTAATTGATAAAGCACGAAACAGTACTGTTAACATTTTCATATAGAAGAAGTTGGCCCCACCCAGGCGGAAACACGTACAAATGAGTCACCAAGTTGAGGGTTGAAAATAAAATATGCTTTAAGAGAGGACAAAATTTCAGGATAAAAGTGATATTCTAAGTTGGGAACTATATTTTAGAAATTATCTTTCCGGGGAGGTCAGGATTATATGTGTATGCTCGTGTAAAACAATTTCAATCCTGAAACACAAATAGGATGGTTATACCGTTGTAAGATGCACTGTATCTATATACAGTGGCTCACGAGAGTATTTCAGCACTTCTAGAAACGTTTTATGCGTATATCATACAAAATAGTTTGAAATCTCATTAGTACTGTAACGAGATACGACTATCATAATTATGTTGGTAAAATTTGGAACGGATCTGAAAATGTATATGGAAGTTACAAAATATTTCTTGGAAGCACATACTTCACAAAGTATTAATAAGCCACAATATAACTATAGTCAGATCATCTTTAACATTAACTGCATGTTTAAGACCGTTACTAATGTATATTAATTTGTATCTGTATATACTAATTACTCATTAAGTGCTTGTTGTAATATATGTCTTGTATCTAACTTCTATAAACATTTTCGGATTGATTTCAAATTTTAATATTATAATCACGATAATCGCGTTTCGTTATAGTGCTAACGAAATTTCAAAAGGCATTCACATAATGCACATAATATATCCATAAAAAAATTTTGCGATAAATGTTCGAATACTTCTGAGTGTGCTTATAAACGTTTCTTATATTCATTCTAAATAATTTAATAGCGTATTAATAGCGTATCTTCTAACATTTATTACCTTTTTATTTATAAGTTTATTATATACGTAGTTTCTATTTAACAGCAGAATCAATCGAGGGGTTTTTGCGACACGTGTTTCTGTATAGCGACCGAATCGCTGAAATAAACAATGCAGGCTAACGGTGCTGAAAATGTCGGTCCTGAAAATGCAAGCGAAAAATCAGGATGGACGGTAATTATCATTTACTGAAAACGATATGTATATTAGTTATAAAAAATTTATATTATTATATATGTTTATGCTTCATATATTATTTCAGTTTTAAAATGTTTAGAAATTGTTTTAGTTTGCATTTACAAAGAATATTTAATTTAAAACTTGCATGAATTGAAACTCAAAATAATAAACTAAGAGCGATAAAAACGAGATTTAATGTTTATTTTAATAATATTTTAATTTAATAATAACTAAATAATATTGAATTGTATATATTGCAATTAAATTAAATTAATCTAATTGGATGAGGCATTTTAAAAGTTGATTTTTAAAAATATTTATTTAATTTATTGTAGGTTGGATTAATAAACGGAAAGTTTAAGTATCTTACAGCTGAAA